CTAAATTTAATTTCTAAATTATTTATTAAAAAGGATTAAATAATAATAAAACTAATATTTTTAGCTAATAATTAAACTATAATATCTTAATATTTAAAGAAACTTAAATAATTCTTAAAAGAAATAATAATAAAAACTTAATATTAATAACTAAACTCTTAATAATAGCTAGATAATTTAATATTAGCTTATTTAATAAACTAAATAATAAAGTAATTATAAAGTTTTATACTTACTTTATATATAGTTACTAAGGAATTATAAAAACCTAGAAATAATTATAATAATAATATAGAGAAAAAGCTATTAAAAAATATATAATAAAAATAATTAAAAATTATAAAATTTATTTTAAAAATAAACCTACTTAATATTAACTTTATAATATATTATAACTTTTATTTATATTATAAACTACTTAGTAATTTATATTATTTAACTTTATTATTAAACTATTAAAGTTTTAAAAACTTTTTATAAAAGTATATTATAATAGTATTTTTATTATTATAAACTAATTTATAAAATATATTTATTTTATTTTATATAGAGAAATAAATAATACTAAAGAATATATATATATATTTCTTAAGTATATTATTACTAATTATAAAATATTTAAAGAAATTATATTAGATAGAAATAAGATTTTTATTTCTAATTTTTAGAAATTAATTATATTATATTTTAGTATTAAATAATTAATATTTATTATATTTTATTTATAAACTAATAAATAAATAGAATAAATTAACTAAATCTTTAAAACTTATTTTTATATTTATATTAATTATAACTAAGATAATTAAGTTATATTATTATTAATAGTTTAATTTACTTATAATAATATAATAAGAGAAAATACTAAAAAATCCCCTTTTTACTTTAACTATAAATTTAAATTTACTATTTATAGAGAACTTTAAGTAAACTTAGCTATAATAAAAGTTATTATTTTAATATAATAAATTAAAGATATCTATAAAAATATATATAAAGAACTTAAATTTATATAATAATAAATAACTTAATTTAGTAATAAATAAAGGATTAAGGGATTAATTTTAAAAGAAAGAAATAATACTTATTTTATATAATAAAATATTAAAATAAAATAACTAAATAATAAACTTAACTATAAAAAACTTAGATTTTTTAAAATCTTATATATAATTCTATTAATTAATTATAAATTTAAACTTTTAAATATTATAAGGTATTACTTAGTATTTTATATTTTATTATTTAAACTAATATTATAAGGATTATAAATAAATACTATTATTATTATAGAAGATTATAAATTAAAATATAAAGTTAAATAGATTATTAACTATTTTAAAAAATTAGAAAGTTATTAATACTTTATTAAATAGAAAAAATATAGATATAAAGATAATACTTAGAAACTTATAAAGAACTTTATTAATATAACTAAGAAACTTACTTTTTATTAGTAATAATACTAAGAATAAGAAACTATATTAATATTAGTAGTACTTATTAGCTAGATAAATATTAATAGCTACTAAAAGGTTAAATACCTATATAGATATATTAGACTACTAATAGAGGTAGATAGACTATAATAAGGGAAATTACTTATTTAGCTAGAAATATTAAAATATAACTAAGAACCCTTTAAGAATACTAATAGATTACTACTAATTAGAGGAGTAAGATTTATAAACTCTTTATTAATACTAAAGCTTTATTAATCTAAATTATTCTTAATATTAAGAAATTAAAGATTGCTTATTATACTACTTTTATATATATCTAAAGTAAGAAGAATATTATTTTCTTTTAACTCTTATATACTTTAAGAAAATATCTCTATATAATACTTTTTAACCTTTTTATAAATTACTTAAATATATAATAACTAACTAGCTACTTTAGCTACTTTAGCTTAAACTTATACTAGCTTTTTATAAAGGTTTAATAAAATATTACTAACTTACTCTTCTTTTTCTTCTTATTCTTAATACTAATTACTTAGCTTTTTTACTATAACTAATTAGTATAAAAAGCACTTAATAAGATATAACTAAACTTATAACTTAATATAACTATTAAACTATTATAAAGATACTTTAGGTTTTTATAACCTTAATAAGTTTTTATACTTTCTACTATTTAGTATATATATTTTATATGAAAATACTAAGTATAAGGTATAATATTATTAGAACTAAAATAATAGAAAATATTTTTATAAGTAGAATAAAGTACTAATTTAGATTAATTTAATTTTTAAATATAACTTAATATAGTATTAGTATTATAAGTAAATTAAGAAGTATAACTAATAGATCCTTAGTTTAAAACTAATAACCTACTTATATTAGGTTTTCAAAATAAGACCTTTTAGAGAGGAGACCTAATATTATAACTTATAAATAAAGATAATAGCTAAATAACCTACTTAAGCGTTAAATAGCTAGAATAAAATATTTATACTATAGGATTATAGGAATAATAGGGACTTATTTAGTATAAAAGAACTATAATATAAGTTATATAATAATAAGATAAGAGATTAAATCTATATACTAAAAATATAGAGGCTATATTTAATATAAATAGAACTTATTAGGATTAAGTATAGTAATAAGGATAGTAGTGCTATTTAAGACTTATATATAAGATAACTTAAACTTATCTTAAGGTTAGATTTTAATAGCTTTTTAGTAATTAACTTAGTATTTATCCTTAGGATACTTTTAGTTTACTTTTACTATAAATTACTTATTAAGCTTAAGATTAATTACCTTAGTTTTTAAAGACCTAATCTACTATTAGCTTATAACTTATAACTTAGACTATAACCTTAGTATACTATTAGAACGTATTAATCCCCAGCTTCTATTAGCAAACCCTACTATTAGATAGCTAACTATAATAAGAAAGTATAAGAAATATAAACTAACGCTTAGAACTTTATAATTTAGATAACTTTAAGTAATAAGTTTAAATAGAAGCTATTATACTTAAAGAAGATAAGGATAATAAAGAGCTAAATAAATTAGAGAAATATTTAAGTTTATAGAAGTAAACTAACTATAATCTTATTAATTAATAGTTTATTTATAAAGAAAAATATCTTTATTTAAGTAAACTAATATTAAGTATATTAGTAATACTCTTATAGTTATTTAATTATAAGAAAGTATTTAGTATTATATTTCTTATTTAGACTTTATAGAAACTAATAATAAAAGTAAAAAAGCTAGAAATACTATAATATATAAAGTAATAGTATAAGAGGAGTATAATCTTACTACTTAGTAAGTTTAAATAGCTTTACTTAGTAATTACTTATAATTAATTAGTAATTAATTAAGTATAGTATTATAATATAGTAATTAAGTTAAGTTTAAGCCTCAAACTTAATTGATTGCCTTGGGGTGGGCGCTGATTGTGCTGTTAATTTTCTCCTGGGTCTGACTTGCCACAACGACATTGGCGCCGTACTCGACGCTTGCTTCTGCGACGGCGTATCCAATCCCGGAAGTTCCGCCGACAACTAGAACAGACTTGCCCTCGAGCTTGTTAGTGTATTTTGGTGCCATGATGATGCAACTCACTGAGAGTGCCTGATTGGTATGTCTGGGGTTTCTTCAAGTCTCAGAGGAGGGGCAAGTTCAGGTATGTACAATAAGACAGGTGACGAATGTTGGTGTCATAGGAAGATTCATCGAGACATTTCATCTCGTCTTTAAGCAATCTGGAAGCTTGCCGCCTGCATCACTCCTCGTGACACTGACCCGCCTAAACTCCGCAACTCTACAGGTAACCAACCCCCTAGAATCTCCGCATCCATAACGTTATGGGCGTACCTGATGTCGGAAAACCAATCAGTTCTGTTCTGTTGGATCGTATTGCCAGGGGACCCGTGTTTCCACAGATGCCGCTATTATGGAGTTAGGATGATAAGTCCGACCACTTCATCCATTGCATGCCTACGAAGTTGACTTTCGCCCTCTAGCCAAAATATGTCCGACGTCAGAGATATCCTTATGACAAATGAAGGACTTGGTTCGTCCGACATCTCGGTCTCGCGCAGTCGCACAGGGCGTGCATTGCTAATTCCCCTGCTGTCTTTTCAGGATACTAGAGTTCTGCACCCCGTAAGGAGTATTCGCCATAAGCCGTTCACCTGATGAATTAAATATGGTAGTTGATATATCCATCATCATTATTATCACTTCTGTCCCAATGACATGTTTCATTTTCGTCTTCGCTGTCATCGTTGTTGTTGTCCTGTGATCAGCCCCCGCCTGGTTCCACGCACAAATACAATCATGTGGCTGAGTAACAAAACTGAAAGCTTCCTTCACCAAGAAGCTGAGGCGATCGTTCTAAACGCCGAAAGGCCCAGAATGATACCTTATGTAGATTTAGTATACTTGCTTACGCTGAAAAAGTTCAAACAGATAACCTTAGGGTGGAGTGGGGGGGAATGTATTTGCATTATGGTTAATGGGTTGCATCAATGATTGATTAAGCCCGTCATAGGCATGAATGTCAATTCCATAGTCCACTTCTTGAGCATAATACCCTGTCCTTTGATTTTCTATTATGGCCGATTTTGTTCCTGCAGGTAAAACCGTCAACTAACAGCCTTTGTGGAATCCTGGGTGACACTCGCAATCAGTCTCGAATCTGCGACTTCCATGTAAGTTGACCAATGGCAAAGAATCTCTTAGGCTAGCGAGGCAGGCTCTCAGCTGCCAAGAAGTGATTGATCGAAATGGAACAAACACCTTCGCTTCACCAATCATTACGTCGTGATCAAAGTCAGTCAGCACGCCTGCATGAGCCCCTGTTCTAGGCGCCAGCCTTGTCCATCTTCAAATACCAAAACAATTCGAAAGCCCTCAGAGCCTTCCCCCGCACTTCTCTCAATCCTTCTCGGCATTGCTTCAAGGGCTACCAACCAGAAGCAACAGTCTCGTACCGTAGAGGGCAGCGATCCACTGGTGGAACCGACCAAAATGGCGCGTCCCCGGCTCTGGGGGTGCCTCGTATTCACCTCGCTGATTGTCTCCGCCCAGGCTGGGGCTCTGGATGATTTCACCAACAACCTCTTTTCTGATCTAGCGCCGTGAGTGTGATTTCATGCCCTTTCTTCGGTAGTATGCTAATCGATCCAGTGTCCTCGCGCTTTTTGGAGAACGCGCGACTATGCAGTTCATGAGTCAATCACTGGGTTGGGCAGACTGTGTTGCGTTAGCTATGGCTCCGTTAGGAATTATCACCATCATCGTGAGCGCAATTCGCGTGGGCGGGCCGATGCGGCTGAAGGCGATCATTGGCCGGGCGAAGGAGAACACATCAGTAGCCGAAATGGAGCTGATGTCGTCTACTTCACGCGAGGTTTGCGAGTTGTATAATGGCGAGAGCATCGTCAGGTGTCAAGGTTTGGCTCCTGTATGGGAGTACATGTGCCTCGTACCTAGACATGACACCAAAAAAGATTCGGTAAGGAGGAACGACCAGACTGGTAGAAGGATCCAGTTCAAGACACTGGAACAAGCGATTAAGGATGGGTTTTTGAAACTAGAAGGTAGCGTAGGCCTCTTATACCATGTAGGAAACATACTGACCTTTATGAAGGAACTCGCAATTCTGAGCTGGAAGTGCAAGCCCAACCTATTCAGACAGGAGTGCCGACCTCCGTTTCTGCGGTTGAAGATGGATCCAATGCTGGTTCTACGGCAATGCGGCGGAGTATGAGACGCACTCATGCTTGGTTTCGCAGAGGCAGAGGTAGGTTCTCTAGCGGACATCATTTCATCACGTCGTTGGAGATTCTGATGAAGTATGTCAGGCGGTATCTCGGCTTCGAGAGAGAACAACATGGAGTTGGGCAATATCTCTCAACATCCCACTGATGGTTCTTCGAATGAGACTACCGTTGGGTCAACAACAGAGACCGGCTTAACTGCCGATGACCCTATCGACGGATCCTCCATGATCGTCATTCGAAACACAGGTCCTGAAGCACCGAACATCTCCCTCAACCTATCAGAGGACCATAGCCGGACTCCTATCAGAACTGTTGCAGTCATGGGGATTATTCTTCAACTAGGCGTTTTGGCTTTCTTTGCGGTCATGACCTATCCATCTTACACACGGAATGATTTCAAAAAGGATGACGAAGCTGTTCCCGAACATGCCTTCCCACTTACGGCCAGCGGTACTATCCTGTTAGTTGCAGGGTTGCTTCTGTGTGCTCGTGTAGTGGAAAGTAGTACACATGAGCAACGATACAAACCCACCGAAGGCTATGAGATCCGTCTATATTGGTTACAGCAAGGGCAGACCGTTAGTGATCAAGTCTTTGAATCCTTTGCAACCTTTCCCTCTTTACCACGAACTGAAATCATCACCTCTCGTCGCAGCAAAGATTATGGAGAGGGAAAAGACAACAAAACATTGCAACTCATGGCCATTATCGGGGTTCTCATTGGTCTTGTGGGATTTGTCATCCAATTTGTTGGCCTTCGAGCAATGAACGCGGCAGCGTCTCTGGCACAGCTCGCTGCAGTAGGTGCTATGACGATCGCAAGGGCTCTTGTGAGACCTGGATTTGCGAGTTCCTTTGAGAAGTCAAGGCTTCTCGTCGGTTTTGAAATTGACTGGCTAGCTTGGAAATTGGTCAAAGAACAGCATGTCTGGGAGACGAACGAGTCCTCTATCAAAGAGAACCAGCCCACGGAACCTGAATCTCCAAATGATGGGACCGCAGAAGATACCGTATCAAGCCCTCTATCGAGGCATCGTGAGAATGGGAAAGCAAATCAACATGATATTCCTGGGACATGGGCTGTGGTTACGGGGTGGGGCTCCCGATACCATCCACTTGAAGCGGTACAAGAAAGCTTTTCGAGCCCCCAGTCGGGTTCGCGGCTGTTAGACGTACGACGAGAGCTTGCTAAGCTAGCAAATTTCCAGCGAGAGACGTCAAAGACAGCTCTGAACCTTGCTCATGCAATGGAAACGACGATGTCGATCTTGTACCCTACTGGTACTGGAGTCGACGGAACTAGCGATTTCCTTTGGAACATTGACGTGATTCACAACGGCTTAGTATCAACTCCTATTTCGAATCCGGCGATGTCTCTCCAGCTTCGTTTGGCTCACAGGGGAAAGTCCTGGAAAGTTTTGGCAGATGACATCGACGCTGTCTTGTCACTGTGGGCATATACTGCGCGCGGAGCCGATGAGGAATTTAAGCTCAGCCAGGGCGCCGAGAATTTCAAACACGTCAACTCAGAGAATGACAGCTGGCTTCGTAACAAGATATATCCAGCCAGTCTGAGAATTCTATGTCCGGCGGATAACGCGATGAGAGACCAGATGTGTAAAGATCTCAGTCTTTGGGCGCCAAAAGCTATGCAGACCATGTTCAACATAACCGAATACCGACTTCCCCGAGAAGATAAAGACGAGATTTACGATGTGCCGAAGAAATTTCAGTCGAGCAGAATTGTGGGATTCAACCCACAAAAACGACCATTCTCAGACGTTCCACGAGGAGAGCGAGAGTTCTGGCGCACTCGGGATTCTGTATCGGAGCTACTGCCTCAACGCTCTGAGAGGGCTCACTGGGCCATCGAAACTCAGGAGACACTAGATCTTCTGTACGCAAAAGACCTATTATATTCGTTCTTCTGTTCCGTGGCACAGACGCTGAGGTCTCCTGTGCGAGGTAGAGCGGAGATTGAGAACATCTTGATTGACATCACGTGGCGAAATGTTCTGAGAAGCAATCTCCGACTCTGTGTTTTGAAGCATGGGGACCTGAATAAGCTTATTGAAACTTTAATCGACCTTGAGCTTGGCTCTGAGATCGAGACTACGCTGAGCCTCTTATTGCCTTTGAGCTTCTGGGACAAAGCGCCAGTACCATTCGCAATCTTCGACGTTCTCTGCGAGGAAAAGATCAAGGCCCGTAAAGCGCAAAACTGGGAGCTTCTATTCCTAGATCATGATGATCTGAATTCCGTCAAACTTCGTAAGGAAGTTCAACTGGGCAGAGCTTTCTTCTTGCACCTCTTTTTCTTCTTGATCGAGCATGCTCAGGACGCACAAGACGAACTTTGGTTGATGAATGTCGAGGGTAGAAAGTTGGATCAGGAAGCTGAAAGTCACCAACCCAATGGCTGGTCGTCGGACATGACCCCTGGTCAACGCAAGAATCTCGATCAACATTTCCGAAAGCATCGAACAGCACTTTTAACATGCCTTAGAATTCTAGGTAACGACGAGCTCTTCGAAGACCTGCAAACGCTTTACACCCACCAAGACAGACACCAAGGCTTTCTGCATTATCTGAGAAAACCCAGAGATATTGAACATGATGTAGAGCAGTCTGAGACGCGCTTGTGTCATAGATTTCATGCGAGGAAGTGCCTGCCTTGGAGGCAGCGCAAAGACCCACCAGACCTATCAGCCAAGTTGCCGCAACGCTTCAACATGACAAGTGTTCATCTCGAGGCCATGAGAATCAATGGGAACCCCGCAACATGCAGGAAAGATATCCCTTGGATTAATCAGCCCGATGCATCTGGCTCTACACCTCTGCACCACGCTGCTAGGACAGAAAGCCTGAATATGGTGGAATATTTGATCAAAAACGGGGCTGACGTAAACTCAAGAGACTTCCGGGGATACACGCCGCTTCATTATGCTTGCGGCTACCGCGATGATAACGTCATTATCCCACTCACTGACGCAGGCGCAACATTTGACGTTCAAGGCACGGATGGAGCGTTTCCGCTTCATGTGGCGGCAGGCGAGGGGAACGTTGCAGTTCTTGCCCACTTGAACAGGATAAGCTCATCAACCTATCAGCAGATCATCCACGGTCTGGAGGGAATTGAGTGGAAGGCTAAAGACTTTCACGGTCGCTTGGCCGTTCACTGGGCTGTTGTTGGAGGCCATTGGGGCGCTGTCGAGGAGCTCTTTGCCTTTGTAAATGAGACTGACAATTACGGCTGGACGGCGCTTCATCTGGCCATTTTACACGGCAAAGACGAAATTGTTCGCAATATTTGCAGGCTTTCAAAGAAGAGGAATCAGGTTTCTGTTGATCTGGAGAAGACGGATACTGAAGGGCGCACGGCTCTTCACTTGGCGAGGATTAAGGGAAATTCGGGAGCAGCTGACAATCTCATTGAGGCGGGTGCAGCGCCAGACCCTCAACATTATCTGCCGGCAATGAAACTATTACAACGACATCGGCACTACGATTTCTAAGCAGCGACTGCGCTTTTCCCTCGCAACACAACATAATGTCTGGAGAGAAGGATCATGTTCATATCTCAATGTTGAGGAAGTTTCAAGCCCACCCAGTAGGGGTTTTCACAGTAGGGGAAAAAGTAGTAAAAGTACCTCAGTTAGTGCCTAGTCCAGTAGCTTCACAGTATATATACCTAAAGGTCTAGAATAACTGCTTATACTAACCTTAAATCGCCTATTATAGCTATTAACCTTATTAAAGATAGCTTTATTACTAATAAAGTTAATAGCCTCACTTATATAACTTATAAGTAAAATATATACTAGAGATAGCTTTATAAGGTCTTTAGCTATAGAAAAGCTTATCTTAGCTATATACTTAAGATACTACTTATACTAAACTTTAAGCTTATTCCTTACTAAGTAAACTACTTAGATTCCTATATTTTTATAATATATTCTATTCTACTTAATTTATAAAATCTTATATTATAAAGCTTTATTTAAGGTATACCTTAAGATATTAAAATTAATACTAACTATAAAACTAAGTTTATAGTAATTAATAAAATAATACTTTTTAATATATAAAGCTTTAAGGACTAAATAGCTATAATTAGGTCTTACTTTAAGGTCTTAGAAATTAACCTTAGTAGTAATAATATAAAGGCTACTTACTTACTTTAGTAAAACCTCTTACTTAATAATATAGATATATTTATTATAGTTAGCTATTTAATAGTAAGGTTTGCTAATAGAAGTTAAGGATTAATATAGAGTAATAGTATATTAAGGTTATAGTCTAAGTTATAGGTTATAAGTTAATAGTAGATTAAGTCTTTAGAAGCTAAAGTAATTAGTCTTAAATTTAATAAGTAATTTATAGTAAAAGTAAACTAAAAGTATCCTAAGGATAAATACTAAGTTAATTACTAAAGAGCTATAAGAGTCTAACCTTAAGCTAAGCTTAGGTTATACTATATATAAATCCTAAATAGTATTTTTTATTTACTTAAAAGTAATTATTTAGGTATATAACGTAATTATAATTAGTTAGTAATACTAACTAATTACTAAATATCCTATTTTATATTTTATTAATTATTTCTTTATTTTATTATTATATAACTTATATTATAGTTCTTCTATACTAAGTAAGTTCTATTATTCCTATAATTCTATAGTATAAATATCTTATCCTAGCTACTTAACGCCTAAGTAAGTTATTTAGTTATTATCCTTATTTATAAGTTATAATATTAGATCTTTTCTCTAAAAATCTTATTCTTAAAACCTAATATAAATAAATTATTAGTCCTAAGTTAGAGATCTATTAATTATATTTCTTAATTTACTTATAATATTAATACTATATTAAGTTATATTTAAAAATTAAAATTAAGTTCTACTTCTACTCTTTATTATTATAATTATATATTATATATTACTAAGTTTAGCTTTATTATTAATATACTTTATTCTTATTATTATTCTATAAAGAAATATTATAAACTTCTTTTAAGTAGTAAAGTTTATAGTAAGTATATTTATTTAAAGTAGTTTTATAATATAGTAATAAATATTATTTATATTTATATATCTTTATACTCTTTATATTTTATATATACTACTAACTTATTATAGTTAATTATCTACTAAATAAAGTAGCTTATTTAGAAAATATAAAAATAGCTAAAGAAGAAGTATTATAAAAAAAAGTAGCTATTTTATATACTATATAGGCTAAATTAAATAAGTTTATAGTATAGTTAAATTATTTATATAAGTAGAAAAGAATAATTTTCTAAAAAAGTTAAGAAGTTATAGAGGAGAAGCTAATAATATCTCCTATATTAGAGGTTTAGTTAATAAGTAGCTTTAATATAATAAACCTAAATTTAATCCTTAATTAGAATCTTAATACTTTAGACTTTTTATTAAAAAGGTCCTAATATTTCTAACTGAATAAATAGTTTTCTTTATTATAATCTATCTACTTCTATTAATAGTTTAATATATCTATATAGATATTTAATCTATTAGTAACTATTAATATTTATTTAATTAAAAAGTATTACTAATATTAATATAGCTTCTTATTCTTAATATTATTACTAATAAATAATAAACTTATTAGTTATATTAGTAAAGTTCTTTATAAGTTCTTAAATATTATTTTTATATTTATATTCTTTCTATTTAATAAAATATTAATATCCTTTAAGTTTTTTAAAATAGTTAATAATATATTTAACTTTATATTCTAACTTATTATTCTCTATAATAATAATATTATTTATTTATAATCCTTATAAAGTTAGTTTAAATAGTAAAATATAGAATACTAAGTAATATTTTATAATATTTAAGAGTTTAAGTTTATAATTAATTAATAAAATAACTTATAAGATTTTAAAAAGTTTAAGTTTTTTAAAATTAAGTTTATTACTTAGTTATTTTATTTTAATATTTTATTATATAAAATAAGTATTATCTCTTTCTTTTAAAGTTAGTTTCTTAATTCTTTATTTATTACTAAACTTAATTATTTATTATTATATAAATTTAAGTTCTTTATATATATTTTCTTAGATATCTTTAATTTATTATACTAAAGTAATAGTTTTTATTATAACTAGTTTTATTTAGTGTTCTTTATAAATAATAAGTTTAAATCTATAGTTAAAGTAAAAAAGAGATTTTTTAATACTTTCTCTTATTATACTATTATAAGTAAACTAAATAATTAATAGTAAAATATCTTAATTATTTTAGTTATAATTAATATAAATATAGAAGTATATTTTAAAAATTTAGTTAATTTTTTCTATTTATTTATTAATTTATAAATAAAATATAATAAATATTAATTATTTAATACTAAAATATAATATAATTAACTTCTAAAAATTAAAAGTAAAGATTTTATCTCTATTTAATATAATTTCTTTAAGTATATTATAGTTAGTAATAATATACTTAAAGAATATATAAATATATTTTTTAGTATTATTTATTTTTTTATATAGAATAAAATAAGTATATTTTATAAATTAGTTTATAATAATAAAAATATTATTATAATATATTTTTATAAGGAGTTTTTAAAACTTTAGTAGTTTAATAATAAAGTTAAGAGATATAGATTATTAAGTAGTTTATAATATAAATAAAAGTTATAATATATTATAAAGTTAATATTAAATAAGTTTATTTTTAAAATAAACTTTATAATTTTTAATTACTTTTATTATATATTCTCTAGTAACCTTTTCTCTATATTACTATTTTAATTATTTCTAAATTTTTATAATTCTTTAGTAACTATATATAAAGTAAATATAAAACTCTATAATTACTTTATTATTTAATTTACTAAATAAGTTAATATTAAATTATTTAGTTATTATTAAAAGTTTAATAACTAATATTAAATCTTTATTATAAATTCCTTTAAGAATTACTTAGGTTTTTTTAAGTATTAAAATATTATAGTTTAGTTATTAACTAAAAATATTAGTTTTATTATTATTTAATCTTTTTTAATAAATAATTTAAAAGTTAAACTTAAAAAGGAATTCTAATTATTGAATTTATTATTTATTTAATACTTTTAAAATAATAAAATATAAAAAGGTTTTATAGTTTAAATATATAAATATTTTATAAATTATTTTTAAAAATTTAAGTTTTTATTTTTTAAAAATTATAATTATTACTATAAGTTTTTTATTATAGATTTAATAATTAAACTTAAGTTTATAAAGTTTTTAAAAGAAAAATATATATAAATATAGCTTTTTTTTAAGTTTTATTATAATAACTATATTTTATAAATATAATCTAAAAAATCTAATTCTATTTTAAACTATTTAATAAAATTTAATATTATTAAAACTAATTTATTATTAATAAAGTTTTTAATTTTTTAAAAAGTTATTTATTAAAGTTCTTTTTATATAAAAAAAGTATTTTTATAATTAAAATTAATAAAGATTATATTAATTTTATTATAATTCTTAATAAATTTTTAATAGAAGTTAATAAAACCTAAAAATCCTTAAATTTCTTTAAAGTTTTTAAGTTTTAGTTATTTTTTAATAACTTTAATCTTATTCTCTAATATTTAGATTTCTTTAAAAATAGTAATAAATCTAAAATATTCTACTTTTTAAATATAAAATTAACTTTTTTTAAGTTTTATTAAAAACTTAACTTCTTAAAAAGCTTATAAAATATAATAAATATTTTTTTTATATTTCTTTAATATTAATAAAAATATAAAGATATTATTTAAATAAATAACTATATAAATATTAATATATTTATATAAAACTAAATTAATTATATTTTAGAATATTATAAAGGTATTAATAAAACTAAAAAGTATAATAAAGTATTTAAAATATTTTTTTTAAGTTTTAAAAATAATTTTTTATTTTTCTTTTTATTTTATTCTAATTAAATTATAAACTTTTTAAAAATTAAAAACTATAAATTAATTAGCTTTATAGAGAAATCTCTTTATTTTATTAATAAATAGTAATAAATAATAATCTTTTATTATTATTTTATTAAGTATATAATAATTAATATATAGCTATAATTTTCTATTGTTTTTAATATAAATAGAATTAAGCTTCTTATTAATAATATTAAAGGTTTAATATATCTTTTCTTAAGATTTTCTTTAAAATATTTATTTAAAGTTTTTATTTTTATTAAATTAAAGCTATAGATTTTATTAAATTATAGTTTTTTTCTTTTTTTAAAAGGGATTTTATAGTTAAAGTTTATATATTTAAGTAGTTTAATTTTTAATTTAGCTATAAAGAGTTTCTTATAAACTTTATATTCTTTTAAAATAAATAGAAATAAATTATTTTTAAGATTTTCTATTATTAATTATTATAATATAGTTTTTTTTATTTTAAAGTAATAGATATATCGTTTTATTATTTCTTATTATATTAGTTTATTTAAGGTTTATTTTTTATAAAATTACTTAATAACTAAATTATTATAATTTTATTAAAATTAGTTTTTATTCTAATTTATTTATAAGTTATTTATTTATAGCTAAAGTAATTTTAGTATTATATTATATATCTTTATATTAGTAAGATTAAATTAAATTCTTTTTTTTTAATTTAAATAACTTATTTTAAGAAGTATAATTTTATTATAGATAATACCTCTTTTATACTTAAATTCTTCTTTTTTTACTATATATAAGAAATATAGTTATTCTTTTCCTCTTTATTATATTTTTAATTTATTAATAGTTTAAAAAGTAATAAAATTTACTTTAGCTTTACTATTAATTAATATAAATATTATTTATTTATTAATAATAACTTTAAGTTCTAAGTTTTTTTTATATTTTTATAATACTTAATAAATAAATTTTTTCTTTATTACTTATTATAATTTATTATTAATAAATAAGTTTAGTTTTTTAATTATTTTAATTATTTTAAATAAGTAATTTATTTCTTTTTTTATATTATTTTAATAAAACTATTTTTATAGATTTTAATTTAAAGAGGTTTTAGTTTATTTTTTATAATTCTCTATATATAAGTTTTATTTTAATAGTAAACTTAATATTTATTATATTAATATATATCTTATTTTATATTATTATTATATTAATATCTTATAAAAAACTATAAGTTTAGTTAAAAAGTAATACTCTTTTTATTAAAAGTTATTATAATTTATCTAATTATAATATATATAATATAGATACTCTTAATAGGTTTATTATTAAGTTTTTTAGAGTAGAATTAATAGTTATACTTATTTTTTATATATTCTTTATACTTATTATAGAAATACTAAAGCTAAAAAAAAGTTTAATATTATTAATAATTACTTTATAAAATAAGATAATTTTCTATACATATCTAAGAAGTATAGTTTTAGTCTTATTAATTTACTAAAATATTATAAAATTAGTATTATTATTTATTTTAAAATATATTAATTTCTTAGTACTTTAAGAGTTACTTAATTTTATTTTCTTAATTATTAAGTTCTTCTTTAGAACTATAGTTATTTATATTAAAAGTAAAACTATAAGTAATTTCTACTTAAATATATTATTAAGTAATTTTATAAAGTTTATTTAAGTTATAAAGTAAACTTTTACTTTCTCTAAAAGTTTAGTTATTAGTTATACTAAGGAGTTATTATTTTATTAATAGATTATATTAATATTCTAACTCTTCTTTTAACCTTTTTTATTAATATAATTATATCTATTTAGTATTCTCTTATTAGATTATTTCTATTTCTTTCTAAATTTATTATTCCTTATAATAGAGTTATTAAAAAGTTATATATAAAGTAACTAGCTCTAATTATTAGATTTATAATATTTTATTAAATAGTTTAGCTAGTTTCTTAATAATTCTACTATTACTAGAATATATTATAGCTAAAGTCTTAAAGTAAATATTAGGGATAATTATATTATATTTAGATTATTTAGAGTTACTATTTTTTAGATAGTATCTTAATATTTCTTTATTTTTAAAATAAATTTAATATTTATTATTATAATATTTAGTTTATAACTAAGATATATATAAGGTTTTTATAATTATATTAACTTATTAAGGTTATTTAGCTATTAGTTTCTAAAAAAGCTTCTTAAATTATTTATAATCTCTAGTAATATATCTTTATTTATTATAATTATAATACTTAAGGTTTTAAAGTTTCTTATTATTAAGTTTAATTATTATATTAAGATCTATAAATCTATTATATTATTTATAAATAATATTTTAGTAAATATTATTTTAGTTATTATATAATCTATTATTATTCTACTAATTATTAAACTTATATTATAATTACTATTAATATTTATATTTTATATTAAGGTTTAGTTTTTTTTCTCTTTTTTTCTTATAATATTTAAAAAATTAGTTATTAATTTTAATAATATATTTAATATAATCCTTAAAACTAAGAAATTTATTAATTTTAGTTATTTTATTTTTAATATTATTTTTAAATCCTTAATAAAAAATAAAAACTTTATTTTTATTAGTTATATTAAGCTAAGAAATAATTCTTTAGAACTTAGCTATATAGAGAGAAATAAACTTAGTTTATTTAAAATAAACTAAGTTATATTTAATTTATTTTTTCTTATTAAATTTTAAGAAAAGTAATTAGAGAACTTTAATATATCTTATAAAACTAAAAAAGATATTTTTAACTTTTTAGCTATATTTTTTAATAAAGTTATTAAACTATTCTTATTAAAAAGGTTTAAACTAAATTAAAACTTATTTTCTAAAAAAAATAACTATATATATTATTTATTTAGTTTTATTCTAAAAAGTATTTATATAGAAAGTTTAATAAGTTTATATTTAAATTAGATATTTTTTAAATTATTTTAAAATCTTATTAAAAATAGTAAAAGAGTTAAGTTTAAGTTATTTTTATCCTTTAATTAAAGCTAAAATAATATTAATAGTAGTTTAAAAAGTAATAACTTCTTTTTCTAAGTTTTAGTTCTTATAAACTTATTCTTAAAGTTTATTAAAAATTATAGTATTCTAATTAAATATTTTATATATTACTTTAAAGTTATTATTAGTTTTATTAAATTAGTATTTAAGTTTTTTAGTATTATTCTTATTATCTAAGTTATTTTTTATTTTCTAGTTTTTTAGTTCTTAAACTAAGTTCTAAGTAGCTTATCCTCTAAAAGTAGATAAAAATCTAGAAATAAGTAATTTAGTAGAAATATAAAAAGATATTATTATTTATTACTATTAATAAGAATTAATAGTTAACTTACTAAATAGGAGTAATTAAAATATTATAGTTAGCTATTTAATAATAAAGTTTACTAATAGAAATTAAGAATTAATATAAAGTAATAATATACTAAAGTTATAGTCTAAGTTATAAGTTATAAACTAATAATAAATTAGGTCTTTAGAAGTTAAAGTAATTAGTTTTAAACTTAATAAATAATTTATAGTAAAAATAAACTAAAAATATCTTAAGGATAAATACTAAGTTAATTACTAAAAAACTATAAAAGTTTAATTTTAAACTAAGTTTAAGTTATACTATATATAAGTTTTAAATAGTACTCTTTATTTATTTAAAAGTAATTACTTAAGTATATAAAGTAATTATAAGTAATTAGTAGTACTAACTAATTACTAAATATCCTATCCTATACTTTACTAATTATTTCTTTATTTTATTATTATATAACTTATACTATAGTTCTTCTATATTAGGTGAGTTCTATTATTCTTATAATTTTATAGTATAAATATCCTATCCTAGCCACTTAACGCTTAAGTGGGTTATTTAGTTATTATCCTTATTTATAGGTTATAATAATATTTACTATTAATCCTAATATTTATGCTTACTTTAATAACATCTTTAGTAAAGTAGTATAGCTAGTAAGTTAACTAAGCTAACTATAATATTATAGGTGTTACTAATAAATATAGATTATAAAGATGTTAGCTTAGTTAATAGAAAGCTTAGATAGTAGTAATAGCACTATATCTCTTAAAAACGTTATAATAGATATCTATCTTAGAGGGCGTATATAGTATAAGCAGCAGAAAAGATAGCTAAGCTAATAGAGGGTGTGCGTGAGGGTTAATAGATAGGTTAAAAAGCTAGAGAAAGTCTACTATAGTAATTAAACCTAGTTAAAGTTATGAAGTTATTATTAAAGTAATATTAAAGGTGATGAGATTATTTAATAGATAGCGCACCTAAGCGCGTGTAGGGGAAATAGGGCTAAAGGATCATATGACTAGTAAGCTGTTAGCTGAAGGGTGAAGTCGGAGGTCGTTGCAGTACAGGTTCCAGGTAAAAGTCACAGTAGCTGGCCAGAGGCCGTTCATATCTCAATAGAGCTTTCTAATCTGGCAGTTCAAGCATCCATCAAGGAATAAAGCCGTTTATTAGGTGGTGTCGCCCTAGCCTCAGTTGATATTCGCAGGATGTTCTATCCTAGACCTGACCATCCTGAAAGAAATCATGTAGATGATGGCATGGAATTTGAAAGGAATTTGAATTTTCGAATCGGCTACTACTTAACTTCCAACGGCTTTTGGCCTGACATCGAATAGTAGTGTGCGTACGAGTGGATGGACGGGTTCATGAAATCCTTGCGCAGCTATACTAAGAAGATCTCGACCTCAGTGGATGACCAGCCAAGACCTCTTGTAAGAGGTGCAATGGTATTCGCGTGTAAGCCATCATAAACAGCCGCCTGGCTGTAGCGGCCAATGATCTTCAGGTCATTTTCCTTGGCCCACGGACCAACAGGGAGCTTCTTCGTGTCGTTGACCTGATTGACATAGCCCGCAGCCTCCAAGCGTTCAATATGGTGATCAGCTGCGAAGAGTTCAACCCCGAATTTCTCTAGACCCTCTCTAACGAGGCTGGTGAACTTAGGAAGCGTACAATCAGAAGGCATGCTTCGGTCATCGCAGTCGAATGTCCACTTCATGTCCCGAAGCTCGATCCAGCCTCCTGGCTTAAGGACCCTACTTCCGTCAGCACACCGGGCTCCAAATCAGGGTTCAGGCTTACCTATGGGCCTCCTTTGATAGCTTGGGCCAATTCTTAATAGCTGGTGCCATGTGTCGAAGATGAATGTAGTCGATCGAACCAACTGGGGTAGAGCCATTCAGCCTCGGCGTCATCAATGATGAAGTTCACGTTCGGCGGGACGTACCCGGGCTGTATGGGGCTGAGATCCATGCCAGTCACCTCTGCCTCCGGATATTCGTCGCCCACATATACCGGTCAGCGAGTTCAGACTCCCTTCAAATCTTCAGAAAAGAATTTAAATGCACGAACTATCGATAGCCCAAATACCGATACCAGTCCCAATGTCGAGGATCTTCTGGGGATTCTTCAGCGGCGCATTATGAAGTGTCCCACCACATAGGTGGAGAATCATGGCATGTTTCATGTCCTCGCGCTCCTGCTCAAGATCGTCGTTGGGGAACAGGTAGCGGCCTTCTTTGAACTTGTGGTACCGCCGTTTGTTCTCGAAGTTGTAGTCGCGGACGCTGGATGACAATGAGGTCGACCGAGTCGAGCTATCGTCAGTAGAATAGCTTGCATCATAGCCTACATCCTCCACCGGGTCAGCAGCCTCGACGTCAGGGCCAGGCGCTGTCTGATTGTTGATAGCTTGTTCTTCTATGGCAGCTGGCGGACCGGCGGTGTGGAATCTTGTTGGAGATCTCGAGGGAGACTTGTAAACGGCACCTTCTTGCGCCATGATTGTTGCTATTGTACGGATCGACAAGGGTGACTGTTCGGCAGATACGGGTGACGAACAGCTCTTTGATGATGTTGTACCCCGCTGAGAAACAGGGTTTGCAATGAGGGGGCATGCCAGGGAGCTAACACAATCGAGTGAGACATAGATGGGTTGGCATTGGTTCGGGTACGAGTCCCTTTGTCCACGTTCACCGCACGCTTTATTGCTTACCAAATAATATTTCTCTGCTCAGCAGGCCTGCGACTGGATGGTCTCCCGAACCAATCAGGATTAATTTCAATGGAATAGAAACAAGCTCTCCCTGCTTATAGCAAGACGTAAACCCTTGTTGTTGATTGTCTCAGGTGTGGGCCAATACCCAAGTTGGGATTGTGGGTAGCTAAAGACCAGTCTCCTCCGTACTCTGGCATCTGTACAGGGATATCGGTGACGCTACTCAGCAGTACAGCCTCTGAGGAGGATGAGTTGCCCGGATGGTGACAATTACAATATTGGGTTCCGAATCTATTGGCCACTGTAGAATGAGATTCGTATTTGTGCAGAACAGATGGTGTGCATCTTTGAAACAACACCAAGCAAACACGCAAAATAAGCGCTGAGGCGTGAACCTCGGGCTGGTCTTATTTTTTGACTCGGCGCTTACGAATACATCCAGTCTGCGATAAGAAACAGACAGACTCTTAAGCAAGTCTGTTGCCGCAAAATGGCGCATCCTCTCTTTCCCTTGCTTCTTGAAAATGACTTGATAGATTTGCCATCCTACCCGAACCTTTGGCGCTGGACTTGTCCCCACGCTGCTTTCGATTCAAGTTCGTTTCAAGGACAACTCCGAGGTGATGTCAAAAAGAAGCAAGCCATTTGTACCGAAAGAATTTCAAAATATGGCTTCTCGATGCGAGAGCAAAGTCCATATGCCTCTTGCCGATGGCCAAATACGCCTGCTCAGATTGAAGCCTGCGACAACGATATCCGACCCTATTGAGTGCAGTCTGTTTCCAATCTCGCCCACCACAAGTCCTCATCAATATGAGGCAGTCTCATACGTATGGGGGAATTCAAATCACGACAAAGCAATCAAAGTCAACACAGTAGACTTTAAGATCTCTAGCAATCTTTTTGAGCTTCTACCATATCTGCGACAGAACGATTCAGATCGCGTTCTCTGGATCGACGCTCTTTGCATTGACCAGACAAATACCCCGGAGAAATCTTGCCAAGTTGACATGATGGGTGCCATATACAAAGGCGCATCTCATGTAATCATATTTCTGGGCAGAGAATGGGATGGCTTGGAGATCGTTGTCAAATACCTCCAGTTGGCAGCTCAACGACAAGACGCCCACCTTGACCCGGCAATTGAGCCACATCTACACGTAAGCGGAAGCCCCCTTGGTGCACTCCAACGATGCACTCTATTAGACACACATTCTTGTTTAGGACGGCTAACATACAAAGGTCAGGTTGATGATCAAGACATTTCTACCACTCTAGTCGACCGCAGCCTCATGGACTTTTTCTTGGCAGAGTGGTTCTTCCGAGTGTGGACTGTACAAGAGTTCGTTCTTGCGAAAAGCTTCTCGTTTCAGTACGGATCAACGACAATAGCTGGCGATTTTGTGTTGAACGGATTTCGTGCGTTGCGACGACACGTCCAAAACCGATGCTGCGGACCACTGTCTATGATGAAGCGCGGACAGACGTTCCTCGATGTCATGGCCCACACAGATGCATTGATTGGCCTGAGATCCAATGCGGAGCGGAGTTTCCTTGAGACACTTCATAATCTACGACGGAGAAGTTGCAAAAACCCCCTTGACAGAGTCTATGGAATGCTCGGGATGGAGTTCCGAGGTTCCAACCCCAAAATCCCACCAGATTATAGCATCACGCCTGCGCAACTATTCATCAATGTTGCGCAGCAGGAGATTTGGCACACGAGATCACTAGACATCTTCAGCTTTTTTGTTCCTGGAGATAAGACTTCGTTCCATCTCCCGTCGTTCGTCCCAGATTGGACTTTACAGACGGTCGATCGCTTCACACATGTTTTATGTGTGGACCGCCAGATGACACTCTCGCATTACAACGCATCCAGAGGGAGTCAAGCTGAGTTTCAATTTCGACATGATGACTCCAAGCGTCAAGCTACTGTGAACGGTATTCTCATCGATCGCATCATCGACGTTGGAATGCCGTGCTTCTTCTCGGACCTACGTACTCTGACTAACGCAGTTCCTATCGTTAAAGAGGCTCGTCGATTGGCAGGTCTTCCGATCTGTCTCCCCGTATCATACGGAACGGCAAGTGAAAGGGAATATCAATTGTGGCGGACGTTGTGTGGTAATCTGGCTATTGAATATCTTGACGGAGATCGGGGCTGGAAGTCCGCAGATCCAACAGCCGACTTTGACTCATACTTGAGGTGGTACGATACTTTCAGCAACGAACAAGACGTGTCATCTAAGATGAAGCATGACCCTTTTCGGGACGCACTGATTCCCAACCTTTCCGGGCGTAGGTTTATATGTACGCAAAAGGGAGCTATAGGAATGGCTGACGCCGAGGCACGGTCTGACGATATCGTGATGGTACTTGCTGGTGGTAAAGTGCCGTATGTTCTCCGTAAAGAGAACGAAGGTGGGGCCTCGGGAGGTGAAAAGCTCTATAAGCTTGTAGGCGACGCCTATGTCGATGGTAACATGCAGGGAGAGGCTGTTACGAGCAATGAGGAATGGATGGAAGTCACCTTGATATGAAGTATAGTCCTTCGAACATGAGATAAACTCCAAGCTAGGACTCCCGTCATTATTTAAGCCACAAATGTTGCACGTGAGATACTTGATGCTATTTGGTTGGAGATGGTAACTATATTGAGCGGAAATGTTATGAGCGGTGATTGGGCCCATATGCTACATAAGTACCTATAATGCCACCTCGTACCTAAATGTGCTTGACCAAGTCGGCTAAGACCTCCTTCCGCCAGCGGAAGAATATGCTGGCATGGGTATCATCTTCCAGTCGGAGGTGAGCATGGTCCCCTAACCTCTTCGCGATCTGAACGCCATGATTCGGAGGAACGAACGTGTCGTGCTGTCCATACCACAGCCGCATGGGCAGGTCAGTCCGAATATCTTCTACATTAAACCCGTACTCTGTTCCACACAAGTACCCGTCGTGACTCACTCCATCAATTCCTTGACGATAATACTGCCGACCAGTCATGACCATCCGTGCTACAATCTCTCTGTCTGACCAGAGACCAAGCTCCTGTCTCGGATAAGTCGCCTTCTTTTTCTCTGCCTCTTGTAGACGTAGTTCCAAACGCTCTTCATCTGGCAAGTTGTATTGACCCTCCCGGTGAAAATACCAGCCCGCAACGCGAGGGCCGTATCGCCATCCGTACGTGAAGCCGAGCCAGTGAAACCACCCTGCTCCGCTCATGCCAATATCTGGTGGGCCGATTCCACAGACGATGGCGACAGCCTTTAGCTTGTCGCGAGGCATGGCTCGCGCACAAGCAAGAGCATATGGTCCGCCCCCCGATACGCCCTGATATCCAAGTCAGAAAATGCATGTCGGGATAGAAATAACATGCTCAGCTTACCATCACTCCATACTCGTTTATTTTGAGGTGAGAAGCGAGATGTTCCAGGTCTTTCGGGTGATCTAAAAGCGTCCTTCCGGTCTGGAAGGTGCTTAGTCCCATGCCAGGGCGATCCGTCGCGATGATGCGGGCGCCAGTCTCCAGGGCTGCCTCGTGGAGATGACCGGCTTCAACGCGAGAGCCGGGAAGTCCATGACAGTAAAAGATGGGCTTGCCCGTTGATAGCCCGTACTGTGAGTAGCCGAGCTTGCGACCATCTGGCAAGGTCAAGACCTCAGTCGTGTCTTTCTCTGGGACTAGCCATGGCTCTGAAGGTGCGTCAGTGGGGCTATTGCGAAATAGCAAAGACTTTAGATATGATATTGACATTGCGGAGGGCGAGTCTGTATGGCGTGCAGCGACAATGTGGGGATTTCAGTGCACCACTCAGCTGAACTTATATGTTTCGTTGAAGGATTCGTAGCGCTTATGCTCAATTCCGGCGTGAAGTGCAGGTACGCAGTACCTCGTGTGTCGACCTATTCCGGTTAGGCACAAGGAGGCACGGTATGTCTTACAGACAACTCTTTGACAAGCCCGCGGGAATATTCGGAGCAGGAGGACACGTGAGACAAGCTCGCATCTCCCAGAGGATGAAGATCTTCTTGATGACGGAAGGTGAGTCAATCAGCCTTGAACTTCTCGGAGGCGCATGACTACAGCGGCTATTTTCTGACATCAAAACTCGCCGACTCTTCCGCAATTTCATATACCTGCAGACTGCCAAGAACCTTCGTGCCCCAAATTGTAGAAGACCTTCGTCGGAGATGCCGCGTAGGAATCTGCTACCCAATTGCTACCAAGGCGCAATCCAGCGACTTTATGGCACAGGCGTGTAGGTTCTCTCATTGGCCAAGTGATTAAGTGAATGTCAACTGGAATGAAACACCTTTCGTTCTCGTCCAGTAAGCAGTACCTATCAAACAAGTCGAAACTTGGCAGCAGTGAAAATCGCCGACGTTGAAGGAAGTCCACGTCTTTGAGAAATTATTCGCGCTGAGAAGCCCAGACCCTAAACCGAGCTTGTCTTCCCCTTCCAGAATTTCAAAATCGATTATTGTCCCTAATGAAATGCAAACAGGTCTGATCTGACTACCTAACCACCGATAGCAGAGCCGGATGCCGGTGAATCGACTCCACCCTGCCGAGCGGGACCCAGTGGACCGCTGTCCGGGCACCGCTGGGGCCCGGATCGGGAGACTGCTTGTTTTTCCTGCACTGCAACTACTACTATTCCTGCAATTACAAACATTTATATGCTCTAATATTTTTGTTGTACTCACTAAGCTCATTTCGAATACTATTACAGGCATCCTTGATGATGATTAAGTACATAGAAAGTATAGCGGCGCAG